CTCTCACGGGCCTTCCCGGGCGCCTCGGTGGTTCGTGGGGGTGGCTGCTCACCTACAAATTGCTCCGCGGGGAATGGGAGGCCGCTGGAATGAAACTGCTTGAGGCTCTAAACCCACAAAGCGCTTCATTCATGTCTGTAGCTCTGTCATGGTGGCTTGAGCGTTGCAGTCTAATCCATCTAAACGTATCGAACGGGACTTAGCATGCCTGTGAAGTTGGTGCTGTTCTTTTCCGTTTAAGAAGGCGGCCGTCACAATAGTTTACAAACTTTTTTTCTGTTTTATAGGAAGGGAGCTTGTCGGTAGATGTCTAGTCATTCTGTTTATATGAGGTTACTTAAGCTGCTAAAATCCTGAACAGTCTTAACTTGAGCAGCTTCCACGTTTCACAGGTTTACAACAGTGACTGTAGATCTCTGGAGTTTTAGTAAAGTAAAAAACAAAACAAAACATGGTAGTCTGTAGGAAGTCTTTTTAAGTAAGAGTAGCTTCTAGTGAAATTAAAATAACCTATTACAAATAAGTATAGGTAACTGTAGTATAATCTATGATCTTTGTTTTGTATATGACTTGTCTGAAGCTAAAGTGTTAAAAAAAGATCTAAAGGAAAAATACACCCAAAATATTACTGATCTCTCAGGGGTTCTGTATTAATACTTTGAAAGCAAACTTGTCTGAGAATTTAAATGGTTTTAAAAATGTTGGTGACTGCAGTTGCTGCTTTAAGTGGTTAAATACAACAAGATGATAGACATGTTATAGCCAATACTGTAAAGAAAGGAAGAGTTCTGGTATAATATAATTTTCAATATACTAATTGAAAACTATATTATACCAGAATACAGTACTAATATATGCAGTGGTTTGAAAAAGGAGAAAAGGGTATTTTTGTTTGCTAATACAGCTGTTTTCTCTATATTTTTTACTAGTATATATTCTGGCATTAATTTGAAATACTAAAAGATTGTAAACATGTGACAATAATGTTGTCAGTCTCTTTAAATAGAAAAGAAAAAAAACTTTGGAAAAATAATGGTATTCACAATCCTTTCTCTTCAGTATCCTAATAATGTAAAACAATAAATACTGCTTTTTTGGGGGGGGGGGGAATGTAACAGTTTTAAGTCCTCATCTGAAATCACCTAATACTTTTTTTCGTAACTAATTATTTCACAGCTACTCTATGAGAATTTTGAAAGGATGCCATTGATGAAAACAGTCAAGACTTTTAATAAATTCATGATAGCATCTACTAAGAACTGCTATCCAGGAACTTGCAAAAATATTGGGCAAAAAAAAAAGTATTATCATCTGCTATCTGAGTCTTTAGCTTAAGGAAATCTGTTGGGAAAATAGGCATAATCAGCGTTCATCTTATTTCTGGCAATTGTTCTTTCAATGAAAAACCAATTCATTTTTGGCCACTGGATAGCTCATAATGTTCAGTAGCTTCTGCCCATCCTCCAAATTTGCCTTTGGGGTTGTAGAGAAAGATTGGTTGTATTGAATTATCTTCTGCTAGTTCATTGTTGGATATAACCATCTATGTTAAATAATTGAGGGTGTTCCAGACTTGTTTTTCCCTTGCTTTTTGGACTGTAGCATCATAATGGCAAATTATGCAAGCTTGCTCCTTGGAAGGAAAGCTATGGCAAGCCTAGATAGCATATTAAAAAGCAGAGACGT